GTCATTTTCTAGCTTCGACCTTGAGCCTCAGTTTCCTCATCTGGGACACATGGAGGACCACGCCTGGCTCCTCCACCTGGTCCTCACTGTCAGGGTTGAATGAGGTGAAGCATTGAAAAGTACACAGTCCGTCTCCCAGGCCTATCTGTTACGAACCCCTGGGGCCTTTGGTTCTGGGTGCTCCTCAGACCACTCACTTCAGCAAGCCCACCTGGCTGGTGCGGCACCGTGAAGAGAGCAGAACTGCCCCAGTTGGTTCTGACCTCCTGCTGGCCTGCCTGCGAGTGGAGACAGTCCCTGGGTCCTGGGCGGAGGGGCTTGTCTGTCAGTCAATGCAGCTCAGGCGCTAAGCGCATAAATGATGCCTGCAAAGCACTCTGGGCTCTTTGCTGGAAAGCCACTGGAGTGAGACAAAGGAGGCCTCCCTCTCTGCATTCCTCAGCAAGGGCCCCCCTGCGCCTCCCTCGTCCTAGAAGCGGCCGTGCAGGTGTGGACGAGTGCACTTCCCTGGACGCTGGTTCTACCCCCGGTAGCGTGCAGCGCAGGTGCACATTCCTCTCTCCTGCCCTCCCTCTGCAGCTGTGGGCATGCCCCCCCCTCCCTAAGCTCCCGGGGTCTCAGTGTCTAGCGCTACCAAGTAGGAGCCATAGATACTCTAAACCTCCTGCCTGCTGGGAAACCTTCCAAAAGCTATTATGGAAGTTTTAGATTCTCTGGGACCTCTATGGGCCAGCCTGGGTTCCCATGCCAGAGGCAGCCGCTTCCCAGGTTCAAGTGCAGAGCCTTTGGTGTCCCCGACTGTTAGCTATGATGAGGGTGTAGAGCCAGCCTGCCGAGAGGGGACTCTGGCTTCTACTTACTAGCTGTGTGACCTGGGCCAATCGCTTTAACCTCTCTGTGCTGGTCTTCTCGTCTCTACAGGGAAGACTCGTGGTTGCATTTACCTCGGAGGCTGTTACAGCTGTAGTATGAGCTCATCCATTTGAGTTATGAGTTAACGCAGGAGTTAACACAAATGTATGACTTCATACCGTCCATGTCAAGTGCCTGGCACATAGTAAGGCTAATTATGTAAGTGATACACAATAATAACAATTACTATTGCCCATTTTCCACCCCAGTTATCATTCTGGTCCCATTTTCCCAACTTGCTCATCATAGCCTGAGGGCCTGGCCCTGTTTACCCTTGGTTTGCTACTACCATGAACACCCCAAGACTTGTGGAAGCAGTGGGTGGAAGAAAGGTTGCATAAAGGAGGATGGGATAGAGGATTGAGAAGAGAAGGCGACTAGGTTTAAGGGAGGGCCAGGGAGATGAGAAAGGCCTAGAAAGCAGGATGAGGGCATAATGCCTAGGCTAACCTCTCAGAGGCCTGATAGCCTGAGGCAGGAGCAGAGTGTCTGTGGAATTGCTCTCACATCTGGGGTGCCCCAGCACCTATGTTTTTGGCGAGTGAGGCCTCATCTTTGCGTTCCTTGCGTGGGGTGGGAACTCAGTAAATGGCATGTGAAAATTAGTGCGCTAACCAGTCGGTGTAGTAACCGTGGCTTCTGGGTCCCCGCCCTAGGCCTCTTCTTAGCACTTCTGTTACTGAGCTGGCCCGTCAGGGAAGCAGGAATTCCCTAGACACCCAAGCAAGCTGGGAGAATAGGGGTGCTCTCTCATGCTCATTTGCCTAGACTCTGTGCCACTTCCCTCTGTTCTTTTTCTTTTTCTTTTTCTTTCTTCTTTCTTTCTCTTTCTTTCTTCCTTTCTTTCTCTCTTCCTCCCTTTCTTGATTAGATTATTTATTTGGTAGGGAGGGGCAGAGGGAGAGGAAGAGAGAATCTCCAAGCAGACTCCACACTGAGCACAGAGCCCAATGTGGGGCTCCATCCTATGACCCTGAGATCACAACCTGAGCTGAAACCAAGAGTCAGAAGCTTAACTGACTGCACCACGTGGGCACAAGCCCCCTCCCCCATCATTTCTAACCCATCCCATGGCACCATCTTAGGTTTGTGCCAGATAAAGCCCGAAGACTTGAGATCTCCTCAAACTATATCTTGGAAAAGCAGGGCCCCAATGCAGATGTTTTTAGATCCCCCTCAAACTCCCTCTAGATGTTAATAATACCCCAATCCTGAAGCTACGATCTTAAGGAAGGGGGCAGGAAAGGCCCGCCTTGTTTAACTGCTGCTTTTCTTCCTCTCTCTCCTCTGTTTTTCTTCCTGGCCTGGAAGAGCTTTCTACATCCCTTCCCACCTGGAGGAAACTTCCTCGGGCTACCTGCTGTCTTTTCTGCACCATGACATACAGTAAAGTCCCATTATTAGATTTCCTGACTTTGTTCTTGTTATGTAAAAGGAAGATTTTAGAATTGAGGAACCCTCTTTCCAGAAAGCCTCTAGCAACTCAAAAAAAGTCAACGTGGACCTTCCAGGCTGAGCAGCGGCCCATAGTCCCAGGTGGTGTCCCCTTGGCAAGAAGAAGCCATCTCGAGAGATGACTCACAAAGGAGAGGAAAATACAGTGGTTTAAGATGTTCACTGGTATTATCCCAGCATATCGAGGAAAGACACCGTATCATGATACTATTTCTGTGTAATTTGACATATCATTTTATGCTTACATGTACATATTTAAAATAAATGGGAAGGCCATATGGTCAGTCTTTCCTGCATGGTGGCAATAGACATGATTTTCACTTCTTTCTTTTGGCTCAAGTGTATTTTCTACAATTAATAAGTTACCTTAGAGTAAAAATTAAAAGACAAAATGGGTGATTTCTGACATTTGATGTGAAATTTTATATGAAACACAAAAATATATATATTTCATAAATAAATATGTAAGAATATATGTGAACAAATGTTTTATATGTAAAAAATTCTATATACCTCTTCATTTATATAATTAAATATTATATAATATATAATATGCAATATAATATATATTATCTATTGGTATATAGGTGACTATTCATAGAGAAATACTGGAAGGAAATTCAACAAAAACTTTCAACAGTTTTCCAGTTGTAGTTTTCTGTATTTCCCAAGTTTTTGTTTTTGTTTTTGTTTTTGTTTTGCATGGAGCATTGGTTACTTTTGTAATCTGAAGGAAAAAAAAAAGCTGTGTGTGTATGTGTTTCACACTTCAGTGAAAACAAAAGTTGTCAATACTTTCAGATCATTATTTCTGTGTGTGCTGGTAAGGTTATCTGCTTTTCTCAGCATGAAAACAGGCACAACTTTTTTCCTGTTCGGTAGCGTTACCACAGGATTTGATGTTTCCATTTGGCTAGACATGACTTGTTCATAGAACTGGTCAGCATGGTTAGGCAGACTGCGGATTAGCATCTAGGTTTGTTTACAAACAGCAAAAACCCCACATGGTAGAGAATGTTCTGGACTTAATTTCCATGCACGAGGAGCTCTGTTTTGTAGGTGTTGCCTGTCTGGAGGGGATGGATGGGAGATTAATCAGAAACACTGTTCACCGTCCAAAAAAGTGAAAGGTGAAAGACGTCCAAAGGGGGATGGCGAGACTGCATGGTGGCTGTCCAGGCCCCTGGGGAGAGCAACATGAAGGTCTCATGGTTAGTTTCCATCCATTATGACCTACGGGACTTCCCTGATGCTTGTGTAGCTGTTTGCCATTTGTCCTTTGGCTAGTACTTTCTAGATTGCTCGCAGAGAAAACACTGATTTCTCCATTTGTATTCTGGGGTGTATAAATAGCAAAGTTTTAGGTTCCCACCCTCTGTTTAGGGAGTGCTCCAGAGAAAGAAAGGTCTGAAATAGGTGGATCTAGACTGTCAGGAACCTCTGGGCCCAGATGGGTCCATCTGCAAACAAGGACTTAGTGTATCTCCTCCCAGTCCCGTTGCCCTCGGAATTCTCTGAGGGAACTTCCTCTCTGCTAGAATTTTGACATTCTCTGATGGAAGCTTGGTGTAATGGGAAATGTACTTTTGAGGCCTCAGAATGTTTTCCACTCTTCACCAATCAACCTTCCACAAAGCAGTTTTTAAATCCTTCCCTAGCACTAGTAAGGATTGAGAAACAATAGAGGTTTCATGCTCTTGTCCATATTGCATGGAAAGTTCCAGGGGCTATGGGAGGGAAGGATGGGGAGGAGAATAAAAACAGAACATCACGGTCTCAGGATGTCCAGCTTAAAATATTAGCCTCTGAAACTCACTCTTTCAAACATGTCACCAAGTCTGTAAATACCATTCTCCTCACCTGGGGTTGTAAAGCTAACATTGTTTAGCTCTCTGGCTTTGCATTTATGGTCTTGTTTGATTGCAGGACACTGTTCACCCAACCGCCACCTTCCATGGGCCTCTGTGGGATTCTAGGACCACCAGGGACTGCTTAGAAAGGGAAACTTGTTACACCATTGCCCCCAAGAAGGGACCACCTGGGCCCACACTCACAGCTAATGGAACATTTCTATAGTTCTTCCAAATTATACCTCTTTCTGATCACTTAACTATCTTTTTGGAAAACCAGTCACATCTGTAAGTATTGCCTAAGGCCCTACAGTGCTCAGAGCACTGGGGAGGCATCCTTGGGGCACACATTCTGGGATAAGGTTGGGGGACACACAGACCCAGGGAGACAGAGGTCAATACATCTGAAATGAAGAACATATGCGATAGTCTTCAGTAAAGAGGTAAACTTTATTTGTGCGTGCAGTAGACAAAAAGAGCCACGAGTGGAGAAGGAGCGGCCATGGGGGCTCCAGGCTTCCCAGAAGTGTGGCCGAGGGTTGGGGGGAGAGCGGAGGGCAGGGCTGGAGCTGGATCTCTGAAGATGGGCAACATCTAGATAGATATTGTAAGCAAAGAGAATGGAAGGAGCAGGATACGGGGCGGGTCTGTAGTTCTGGCCGAGGTGGAGTTCGTCGGGGAAGGCATGGTAGAGCAGACCAGAAGAGCGGTAGCATGGGGCTCCATCATGGAGGGCTTGCAACACTTCTTTTTCACTCTAAGTTCTCGTGTGCTCTTTTCCAGATAAAGACATGTTGCCGGCAACGACCTGTCCAAAAATCTGACATTTGCTCCAGACCTCTTCCTCTTGTCTCCTCCCTCGTACTCACCCACTAATAAGCCCCCAAGCCCGGACCAGCCCGGGACAGGTGGTTTGCCCTGTTATCCTGGGTGCCTCATGGACAGTCCAGGCAGCTTTTCCTCTGCAGGGAGCTTCATTCTGCCAACAGAGCTGGACTGGGAAGAGGCTGGATCAGGGGTTTGGGCTGTGTCTCCACAGGCTACCAACTTGGGAGGGCCGGTGGCGGACGCCAGGAGCTGCCGGCTGGTATCAGAGAGCAATCCGGTAGCCACTGAAGAAACCCTCATCCTCAGGGTCTGTGAGGCCACAGACACCTTCTTGGCTTGGCTTGCCTTGGCTGGGAGCATTTCCGGCAGAGAAGAGCGGGAAATGGATGGGTGGTGAGAGGGAGGAAAGGGCCTTCAGGGCTGAAATGAGATATTTGTGAACCCCTATCTGCAAACAGACAAGTGCTGGCCTTGGACGATGCTGCTGGCAGATGTGACTCAGGGGCCACTGTGGCCTGGAGAACTCCAGCGGGAGATGAGTGTGGAACAGACCTGTCAGTGCAGCTCTGCACGTGAAGGGGAAGAGTAAAATGAGCTAGGAAGGCGAGGTGGAATGTGTAATGAGACAGAAGATGTGAGGGCTCAGGATGGGAGAGGGAAAGCCGTTGCTGGGGATTGCTGGGGATGGGCCACTCTCAGGGATGGGAGCCATGGTAAAGCGGTTCTTGGACCCTTTCCACGTCTGTGCTCCTGGCCTATTGCCTTCTACATGGATTCATGAGACCAAGAAGCAAAAGTAAAGGAAGAAGGGCTTCTCAGCAGAAATGCCCCACAAACAAAGCCTTACGGCCATGAGCAGAGCTGCAGCAGGGGAGGGGGCACACTTGCAACGCCTCCCTGCCTCAGAACCATGACTTTCTCACTCAAAGACTGTCCATCTGTCCATCCATTCCGCCAAGCCCCAGAACCCCATGCTGGTTTCCCTTGGAAGAGCCCCAGCTCCTGGAGCGGCCACGGCAACAGCAGGCCCATGGACTGCTCCAATCCCCAACTTCCCATCGCAGGCAAGGGTCGGCCTGGTCGGTGGAAGTTAAAATAACACACTGGCTGTTTATGAGCAAGAGCCCTCAATAAAGTCATCGGTTGGTTCTCTAGGCAGCGTGTCTAATCTTCTCTGGCTGCCTTTCTGGGCCTGCGGCTCCTGATCTATTTTGGTCTTTCTCTTCTTTGACTCATTCTGGGACTTCCGTGCCATAAATCTGAGCCCCCTCCAGTGCCTGGTCCCACCAGCAGGCAGACAATTCAGAATTAGCTGTGGTCATGGTTGTCCAAACTGACAGGCAGGGAAACTGAGGCACAGCAGGCTCCAGGACCTTGTCTTGTCTCCCACCGCGACCCAAGAGCACAGCTGCCAGCAAAACCCAGGGTTCTGGCTGGGACTTTCCCACTGGAGTTCGTAGGGAAGGCTGGGGCCCCGTGAACGGCTATAAAGCTCTTATTGGGCCACACTTGGTGCAAATCCCAGGGATGGGTGGCAAATGGGACTGCAGTGTGTGTGTGTGTGTGTGTGTGTGCACCTCTCAGGCTTGATGGTGGTGTTTGAAATCATCCCCATTCCTGGAATTTGACAAGCACAGTACAGAGAAGGACCAGAAAACCCAAAATAGTGGGGAAGAGAGAACAAAGAACCTTCCCAAAGCCATGGTTCAAGCTGTGGGCAAAATATCTTCCTGTTTCTCATGCAAAGCCCCTGCTGCTGAGCCCAAGGGGCTGGATGGGCTGTTTTGGCCAGTCCAAGGTCAAGGCTAAACTCCGGACTCCAATCTCTCCCGCTGCCCCAGGCCTCCCTGGGTGCAGGCTTACGTGCTCTGGAGAGGGGAGTGGGGGTGGGGGAGGTGGGCAGGCTGTTAGGGTTTCAGACACTTTCTAGGTGCCTCGGGGGACCTACATATTTCCTATGTAAAGTTCAGTCTGTTTGCAATTAGGCTTCTCTTCTTTGCTTATTTCCGGAGAGATTAAAAATAGCGAAATCAGCTTAATCTAGGACTCTCTGAGATCAACAAGGCCACTGTTTCCAACAGTATGAAAATACCAAGCAGTCCCACCCACATTCATGGGTCACACCGCATGGCAGGCCTGGTGGGCTTTCTGTAATGAAGGAACTTTAAGTTGCATGAATTCTCAACAGATCAGGCTCTGTTTTTGGACCCCAGCAAGGATATTTTCAACTAAAATGGAAAGGATGTCACACTGTTTAGGGCCTGAAATCCTCTCTTTCCTTCTAAATGAGCTCAAAGCTGTGAATGTCTTTTCAGGAAAATGTACCTTGGTCCAATTACTTCACCAGTTTTTGCCTCTCCTTAGGGATGCGAGCACAGAGTGCATCCTGGGCAGCTGTAGATACAAGGATGCTGCTCCCAACCTGTCACCCTCCGCTGTTTCCTCCCAGGCTGGGAGCCATGTCACTGATCCTCGGCAGGCCCGGGGAGGAACAGCCCCCATCTGGGAGCTGGCTCTTTGCGCTGAGGAGGGCCACGGGTTGGAGGAATGTGCCTTTTAATGTGCTACATTGGTCAGAATGGGAACGCCATGCTGACATAACAAAGAACCCCGCGTCTCATTGGTTATGTCACCTGGGACTGTGATGTCAAGATCGCTGTAGTCAGGGGAGACAGGATGGATGGTTGCTGAGATGCTTTTAAGGGCCAGCCCTCTAAGTGCCTGGCATCACTTTTGTCCACATCCCTTTGGCCAAAAGCCAGTCACATGCAAGGGAGGCTGGGAAACGTGGGATTTGGGGTGAGCAGGCATCATCAGAGGCTTTGACCTGCCATCATCAGCCATAAGGGCACTGAAGCCTAAAGAACACCATCAGAGAAACCTCTCGAGGCTGCCGGGAGAGCAGTACTATGAACTGACGGGGCCTGCCTATTGCCCACCCACCATTTCCTCTTGGCCTAGATACCCATAGGAGTGTGGTTGCCTCAGGGAGGCGTCCTGGAGCCTAGCCCCAGGCTGGAGGCCAAGACGAAGCCTATAGTAGGTAACTGGAGTGAATAAAATTAAGTACCTGGGTTATTAGTGGGTGTAGATGTCTTCCAGACCATCAGAAGGTGGGGTGAGGCCCTTTGGTTGGCAGCACAGGGATTTGTAATAACTTGTCCTTATTCGGGCCACAAGTCAGGTTTCCGAGCAGACCGACCAGGTGAAACGTTTTCATGTGTGCTTCCGAAGAGGCTCTCCCACAGGCAGCACTGGGGGGTGAACGCTCCCTCCTGCGGCAGGTGCCTTACTTGGCACCCAAGGCTGGTCTGCCTTCAGCTAGGACACCAGGGATATGTCTTCAGCCACTGGGGCTTTTCTGGAATGGTGCTGGGAGGGGAATTCTGCAAATAGTGAAAAGTCAACCAACGGAGATCTAATAAATAAGAGCTGATTCACATATTTTAACATCAACAGAATTAATAAAGCATTTCCTCCAGACAGAATTAAATGATCATCATGGATTTTCTTCTCTGATGTGAACTGATAAGGGATGTTCTTTGTACTGTCTTGAGACTCTAAAGCTGAACCCTCACTAATATGTGGATGAGCAGGTGGGAATGTAGTGTTTCACACTGGGTGCGATGGTTAATTTTACGTGTCAACTTACCTAGGCTATGGTGCCAGTTATCTGGTCAAACCCCAGCTCAGATGTTTCTGTGAAGGTATTTTTTAGATGTGATTAACATTTACAATTACTTGATTTTAAGTAAAGCAAATGATCTTCCACAATGTCGGCGGGCCTCCTTTAATCAGTTGAAGGACTGAAGAGCGAAGGCTGAGAATTCCCAAAGAAGAAATTCTGCCTCCAGACCGCAGCATAGAAAATCTGCCTTGAGTTTCCAGATTTTGGCCTCAAGACTGAAACATCATGTGCGACCCAAATCCAGTCTGCTTGCTGCCCTGCAAGAACCCATGAGCCAATTCCTTTAAATCTCTCTCAATCTCTGTCTCATTATATATATTTTCTGGAGGACTCTTAACTCTGTACAACTAGGGGGAAAGCAGATTAAATTAGAAGTCATTTTGTGATTAATAGACATTTGTATTAATTCGTAGGGAAAGGGAGTAAACTATAGGGAACTACGAGTCATGATGCATAAATACGAAGTTTTACTATAGCAGTAATATTTCCTATTACATTAAATGTACAACGTGGGTTGTAACAAAGGCTAAACTTGATGGAAATGGTTTGGTGTTTTAGTAATTTCAGTTCTAAAGAGGTGGTGTTTGCCGGGGGAGCTTCCTGTCTGGGGCTCAACCTCTTCCTTTCTGGGCACATCCTGGTGCTCCTCTCCTCACATTAGAAGCCTCTGTCTGTGCACCTGACCCACAGCCTGTGTTTGCAAATTCCATGCCTATGGCTGGCCCTTCGTTCCGTTTCAACTATGCATGTGCCTTGAAACAACAACTGTCAACTAGGGCTCTTTGGCTGCCAGACAGAAAATTTGTCTCAAGGTGTTTTAGCCACAGAGAAATCTAATGGTCCGTGTAGCTGAAAGGTCCAGAATCAGGGTCAGCATCAGACACAACTGGATTCCGGGCTAAAATAATATGCTCTTAGGACTTCATTACTCTTCAGCACTCAGTTCAGCTCTCTGCTATGTTGGATGAAGACTCAGAGACAGGAACAGTTCCAGGCCTCGAACCTCCCAAATTTGAGGTTCAAGGGAATAGAGGGAGTCTTTTTCCTAGAAGCCCTAGGAAAAACCTCAAGATATTTTATTGGCTCTGATTGATGAGATGCTTCTTCCTACACCAATCACTGTGCCCCAGGAAAACGGGCTGCACTGATTGGCTGAGACCTGGGCCATGTGCTTCCTCCGGAGCTGGCGGTGGTATTGGCTGAGCTGGAATCTCCCTGAGGGAGAAGAGAGGGCAGTGTGGAATTCCCCAGGAAGGAAATGGAGCACGGGTACCAGAAGAGAGTGGACGAATGCTGGATAGTTAAAAGGACAAATGAGAAAGCTTAAATATTCATAATCTATTTATTTATAGAAAAGCAGTTCTGGGGGCAGCTTCGATGTGAATTGAAGTTGGTTCACCCTTTTTTTTTGATGTCCCCTGGATCCCTTTCCATATGTGCTGGTACAATTGTGACTATCAGGGTGATGTAAGTTCCAGCAGTTCTTCCTTAAGTCCCTTTCCCAACACCCAGCTCTATTTCCAGAACCTGATATAGACACAGTTGGGGAGGAGGTAGGGGGACTATATTTCTGACAAAGCAATGTTTCCATTTCACACATATGACTAATAATGAACTTGGCCAGGAATAGCTCTTTTGCAGTTTTGGAAACCCTGGCCTAGACCATAAATCACTGAATGAAGCTCTAGCCATATCCCTTAACTTAAAACTCAGTTTCCATTTGCCAAGGATCCTGCTTGAGGAGTGGAGCAACAGAAGAGCTGACCTTGGGTGTCTAATGGTGTCATCCCATTGGGACAGGCCCCAGGACTGTCAGGAGGTCACCTTCCCATGGCATTGCCCTCAGCAGCGATCTAGGGTCAGGCAGAAACTCTGAGCTTGGTCCCTCACTCCCTTCTCCTGCTGCCTTGCCAATACAAGCCTTAAAAGTCATGGAAACATCTCTGGTTTTCAAACTCAAGGGATTCCAGCAACAGAGGTCAGAGAGCAGAAGGTCACATGGGTGTATGTGGAAGGACAGATATCGCTGGGCAGAAAGATGCTTGCCCTTGGAGCATCTGTGTGAGTAAGGGGACATAGGGGATGAAAGCACAGAAGGATCATGGCTTGGGCCTCTCAAGAAAGAAATCAGGAGTGAGGGGCATTGGCAGGAAAAAGAAACATGTCTAGGCTGAGAATCCAGGACACTTAGTCAGGCATTTCCATTAGGATAGACATTCAGAAAACCTCAAAGCTTCTGACATAGAGGATAACATGGCAGGAGATGGCCCACAGGATGAATGGGTATGTTGATAGTTCAGTAGGAATGGTTCAGTAGTAAAGACTGGGTTGGAATGGCAAAAAGCAAACCAACTCAATGTGATCAAACATAAGGAAGACACAGTAGATGGAAGATTCAGTGGCAACGAATAGGTAGGAGAGAACAATTCCCTCCTTTACTGCCCTCTCCTAATGGAGACAGCTGTG